TTATTTCATGTGGGAAAATTAATGTTGATGCTCAGAGCAAACAATTAGTGTGTATTGGTAACTGTATGTTCACTTTTTAAAGATAAATGATCTATGAGTCATCAAAACCTTTGCCGTTTCAAAAGAAATTCCTAATATGTATAAAAGTACAAGTGAAAAATTAAGTGCTTTACAATTGGGAAAGACAGGTCTATGCCTATCTTACCTGCTGCCATAGCAAAAGTTGCCAGCAGTGTGCCCTGGTGGCCAAAAAGCCAAGGGCATCCTGGCCTGTATCAGGAACAGTGTGGCCAGCAGCAGCAGGGAGGTCATCCTGCCCCTGTACTTGGCACTGGGGAGGCCACACCTTGAGCGCTGTGTCCAGATCTGGCCTCTCAGTTTGGAAAGGACATTGAGACGCTTGAGTGCATCCAGACGAGAGCGATGAGGCTGGTGAGGGGCTTGGAACACAAGCCCTGAGGGAGCTGGGGGGGTTTAACCTCAAGAAAAGGAGGCTCGGGAGAGACCTTATCACTCTCTACAACTCCCTAAAAAGTGCTTGTAGTCAGGTGGGGGTTGGTCTCTTTCTCCTCAGCAGCTGACAGAACGAGAGGACACAGTCTTAAGCTTTGCCAAGGGAAATGTAGGTTGGATATTAGAAAAAAGTTTTTAACTGAAAGAGTGATAAAGTTCTGGAATGGCTTATCCAGGGAGGTGGTGGAGTCACCATCCCTGGATGTGTTCAAAAAGAGACTGGATATATGACATTTGGTGCCGTGGTCTAGTTGAGGTGTTGGGGTATGGGTTGGACTGGATGATCTTGAAGGTCTCTTTCAACTCAGTGATTCTGTGTGAGGTTAAGGGGAACTTGGTTTTAATGCATGAAAAAAATGAACAAACCATGATGGAGATGATTAGTAATGGAATTCATATTTGATGAGAATTTTCCAGCAGAAAGAAGGCAAGGAGAAAGGTGTTAATGGGAAGGAAGACAGGGGTCCCAGCCCAATATGGAATGCTGCTAACTCAGCCCCCAGTCAACCCAGTCAAACTGGGTATGCAAAAATCCCAGTCTGAATGGAGGACAGAGGTTTAGTGGTGCTGTATCTAACCTCCCCAGCACCTTCCTTCGTTCCCAGAGCAAACGCCTTACTTTAATTCTTAGGATTAAGAAAAGCCAAAGCCCCTCTGCCACAGTCCTTTTGACCCCTAAAAATAGCTGGGCAGGTCCTGCTGACAGCAGCACAAAGCTGACCAGAGACTTCTTCAGTCTGTGCTTCCCATGCTCACCAGGAGACTGCTGCACACTGGGTGCAAGGCCTGCACAGTGCTCGTACTGGTCCCAGTTCTTCTGCCAGAAGACTTCAATTCACACTCCCAAGACTTTCATTTAGCAAAAAGTGCAAGAGAAACAAAGCAAATGTAATTTTCAGCTTTCCACATGAGTCAGCAGATGTGTAAATTTCTTTCTTCTCTTATTATAGTTGATAATTGACATCTTATAATTGACATCTGGTGACTGTGGGAGTGCTCTGTACATTGCTGCAAAATTGCTCTATACATTGCTGCAAAATTAGCAGAAGAACTAAAAAAATTTCTGCAGACTGTGAGGCAAAACAATTTTAACAATGCAAAGCTCATAAATTGCAACACAGACTTCATCCACCCTCGGAGGTGAAGAAGTCCTGGCTTGCAGACATTTCACAAACTTCAGCATCAGCCAGAAAGTATTGTGGAAATGATTGCTCTTTTTGCAAGTTGTATTTCCCTTGGATAAGTTAACAGACAGGCTGGTGCTGAGCTTTTCATGTGGAAGCTGCCCCTTCTACAGGTGACTGGCACCTGAGCAGGAGGGCAACGCTGCCTGGGACATTTCCAGACAAGGCATCAGCAGTGCGAGCAGCACAGCCAGGCATGCAGCCCTCTCTGTCCCTCATGAGCCCTTCCTTTTGACACTTCTTAGCTTACCTTTGTCACAGAAATAATTCCTAATTATCCAAGTGCCAGTGCAGAGCTACTCACTCATAACTTACAAATACGGTCCCACTCAGCCCAGTAGTGGTAATCCCCAGGCAAGTCCATTGGCTTTGATGATGACCACCAGAAATATTTTTGCAGGCCTGACAGAGCTGAGAAGAATCTCTCGTCCAAGCAGTGCCTGTTCTCGTTAGTGATTTTTGTTTCTGCACCTCTGTCTGTGTGTAGAGACTCCCCTGAGAGCAGTTCCTTTGCTCTTTGGAGGTGTAGGGTCCATTGCTGAAGAGGGAGATTCTGCCTTCACCCCCAAAATGTGCCTGTGCTGGGCCAACAGCACTCCAGCTGAGGCAACAGCATGGGGTGGCTGGCTGGGGGCAGTCGTTGTGTGCTGTGGGAACCAGGTATTATCCCAGGGATTCAGTGGAGAGCACACAGTTAGACCCTGTGCTTAGCTCTCAGTGTTTTCCTCACTCTCAGGAAGCAAATGTTTACACCATTATGACATGAAATGTTTTTAAAGCCATATGAGTGCACAAGAGGATCCTTCTGGTTTTGCTGCTATGTGTTCCCTTGGAGACTCCTGGATGGCAACTTCCACAAAAACAAGTCTGTCTCTCAATAGAGCATACCTCCCCTAAAAGGCCCTCCTTAACATACTTAAAATAGCCAAACATTTCTGATAACTACGTTCACTAGCTGCATGAAGAAGCCAAAAGGACATATTTGATCCATGATGAACTGCTATATTCAGCTGTATAAAAATATCTTCCATTCCTAAGTAATTTCCAGAGCCAGGTCCAATTCCTGCAGCAGGAGGGAATGGGGAAAGTAAAGAGTTTACAGAAAACGCAAAAATGCTAGGGATTATATTCTGTACATTGATGGGGGGTTTTATCCATAAAAAGCACTGGAAAGAGTTGTGTTCAGTTCAGTCCACTTCACAAACTGAACATTTAGTGAACAATTTATATAAAGGCACTAATTTACACAAGGGCACCTAGACTGACCAGTTTAAAGTTCATTTACCTATGACCACACTTGTGAAGATGCAGCTACAACTCTGACAGCAACATCTCAACCTTTAAGCACTTCCACTGAATTCCATACCTGATTATAGTGTGAGTAACTTCCCCTGAAACCTGATCATTTACAACAGCGTGTGCATGTCTGGTTTTAAAAAAATCAGCCCAACACTAACCTTAGTTCACCTTCTTTGCCCATCTCAAACACTCACTTTAAACACATACTGCCTGCAATGACTTTATCCAGTCATTTGCAATTTATGGTATTATGGCATGTGTATGCAATGTTTTAGTGAGTTTTTTGTTATTGGAGCATTGTTTTGCACTAAAGAATGAAGCTGGCTTTGTTCACAGTGAGTTAATAGCACATCTTAATGACTTAGAATAGCATGAGGTACTCAAAGGCGAGTACACATTTAAACAGTTCACTCATGAAATTCTTGTCGAGCTTTAAAAGACACTGAGACTTTAAAAATGCAGAAATCTGCTTTTGTTACAGGAAAGATGAAAGAACTTGGAATATATCAAGGAAATAATGAGAAGATTCAAAAAACATTCCATCCCCTGTGTAGAATCAATATTTGAAAACACTCCATGTTCTAAACCAGCTCCTTGAAAATCATTTCCTCTCCTAATTTGCTGCCAGAAACTGAACTCAGATGTTTCTATTTCTCTTTGAAGGCCTGATAACAAGTTTTGTAGGAACAGGTCTTCTCCTGAGATTTTTGTTCATGTTTCTTTTTGATCTGTAAATACTAAAGAAAATAACTTCTGAGGATATATTGAATATTTCTGATCCTAATCACAGGCAGTACTGCAAGAAGAAAGCATGCAAGCTATAATATAAATAGAAATATCAAATCCTGCTCAACACCTTGGTCCAATGTTCATCTCAGTGTTTAAGCTGATCTGTTCTATGTGGATGAACATTATTTGTGAGACAGAAAGAATATTTGGAGAAATAAAAATTAGGAACTGAACAAGAAAGAATAATTACTTTCAAGATTTAAAAATACTTGGAACATGCAGAATGAAAAACCCACCAGCTTTATACCATGGTACACAAGTGGAAAAAAAAGATCCTCACTTGTAATTCTGCAAAGCTTGTATTGCTGTGGGGAGGAAACCACTCATGGTGGAACGCGGCTGCACAGGGCTTGTCCTCCACAAAAAGAAGAGACTTAAAGAGGTCACTGTCCTGAATGCCTTAAAAAGGACCTGTCTGGACTCTCTGTCCAGGCCTACCTAATTTCCACTGCTGAACAATTCTGGCCCACTCAGAGTATGCTTGAGACCATGACACATGTGTGCCCATCTCAGCAATGTTTTCTGAGTCCCTACAGATTACAGAAAAGCCTTCTAGTTTCATAACTGTTCATCTGGGGAATACCCATTCAATTCTATTCCCATTTAAGAGGTGAAATATAAATGGAGGAAATCTCCTGAAACCACTCCAGCAACAACACAGAATTATGGAGCAGCAACCAAAGCATTAAAAAATAAAAGAAAAATATGTGCAGTAACATCTGTAGAGGAATCAGAGTTCCTTCCCTCCTTTCCAGATAACATGAGAAGCTGAAATTGGTAGGTTGTTGGTAAAAGAGAAAATTGTTGCAGGTCTATTGACAATTTCATTAGGTATGATAAGGTATATCTATGAATATATTTGTTTTCAAAATTCCTGATTCTGCTCTGCCACTCTACAGAGGCTGGTATTCTCCTTAAAAATCCAGCAATCTGTGATAGTAGAAGAGCCTTGTTATAGCTGTGGTGGCTAAGGAGCTGAAAAGCATGAGGTTTGAGGATAAAAGGAGTCACCCCTCTCTGGTGCTGCACCAGGGAAAAGCAGAAGCGATAGTAGAAGGAATGAGCAGAGGGAAAGAAACAGAGGCTAATTGTCAAGTTGCTGCATGATTGGGGGAAAAAACAGTGCATGACCATCCTTTCACTGCCAGCACTGCTTCCAAACAGCCAGGAATTGAGTTTTCATTCTTCTGCAGCCGCAGCTGCTCAGCCAAACACATGACTTTGGGCACAAGGTCAGTAATGCTTTGATTTATTAATGATCCAAAACCAGTGAAGGCTTCATGGGAGCTGCAAAAGATGGTATGAAAGCTGAGCTTGAGGAGTTGCTTTACTATTTGGGAACAAATGCATTTCGTTGTGTTGTTTTGCTTGTAAGTAGGTGAAGTATGGCTATTTCTTTCAAGATTCCTTGTGACTAAAGAGATTCAGGCCTGGCTCACCTAGCCTGAATTTAGGTAACTCTGGGGTAGCTGAAGAGGTATGGGAAGATGGCAAGTGAGAGAATCAGAAAGTGGTTTTAAACCAAAAGAAAGGGTGTTAGCTCAGTAAAACAAAGTTCTCTAAATGTCCCTTTTTCTACAAAAGGAGCTATGCATTTTCAACATACAGATTGTACCAGAATGTAGTGCTAGGAAGTTAGTGTATAAATTGTTGTTCTGTGAGAAGAAAAAAAAAATGCTGTTCCTATCATTTTGGGGGAAAATAGTTTAAAAGACTCCTTGAATAGGAAAACAATAAATGCAATAGATTTTTTTGGCTGAATCAGTCTGAATGAAAGAACAATCACTGCGACTACAGAAGTTTAGGTGTGGCCTCTGGGGGTTATACAGTGTAGAGAAGATGCTAATACAAACACTGCATTTTCTTTGAGCCAAGAGTATGTAGGTCTTCACAGACAGTGGAGCTGCTATGTGTGCCTCTAAGCAGGATAGATACCTCCCTGGGGGTTTTTGTTCCTTTTTTGCTTAACAAAACTGGATCCTGGTCCCTGCACTCAGTTTCTACCTAGCATTACATTTAGCAAAGTGTTCTCTTCCTTAATCCATCCTCATCCTATAGAGTGGATGAATTTTGTCATTAAGCAGATTTGTATAAATTTTCAAATATAAAGAACTGCTTTATTTAGGTTTCTAAGTTTTAAATTAATTATAAATATTTAATTTTTTAATTTGCAATTGTTTTTACTTTTTTCCACTAACTATCCAGCAATTTGCGTATCTCACTTTGAAATCTTCACTGTGACAATAATTGCTTTACTAACGAGTTACCCAGTAACTCTGTGTTTCACAGAGTTAGCCAGAAAGGTTTCCAAATTTACCTACAGATCAAATGCATGGTATGGGAATGCAAGTGACCTACTTCTTAAACAAAAAAAGAAATTAATTTCTTCTCAAACAAATGAGAGAAATTAATTTTTCCAGAAGCTTTGCTCCTTTTCTTGGATTCATTGATACTTTTGCCTTGATCAAGAGCAACACCCTAGCCCAAACCTTGGCAGACAGTCCAGGTTGCTGCCCAACACCTTCAGACAGGTGTTTGAAGTCAGCTTTGTTCCATTTAATTAACAAGTAGGGAGTACCAGACTGGCTTCATTAATTATTAGACAGCACTTTCCTCATCAGAAAAGTACAGAACTGTGTGGATTGAAAGTGCAGAGGAGGACTACTGACAGATTAATATATTGGATTTTGCAGGGAGAAGATATGGCTCTTTGTTGCTGTGACATATTTGTTTCAGGGAGTTGCTTATTCAGAAGAACTGAAAAGAATGAAGAGAGCTGTGGATCCTGAAGCCTTTATGAGTATTGTAAGTTGATGGTTGATGGAGTGCCCTGAGGATGGATGGTATGCATGACTTACAGCAGAGGGGTTTCTAAGTGTTAGAAATAACAGGGGAGGTAAGCTGCCTTAACCTATCCTCTCTAGTTATGTCTACACTACTGCTTTCTCTTCTCTTCTCTTCTGCCTGCATGTGTAACAGCCCATCTTCTCTCTGGAAGAAATTAAAGCAAATAGTAAATCTCCAGTCTTGTTTTCCTTTTAAATATCAGTTACCAGCTTGCTATTGCTGGCAGTGGTTGCCTATCTGAAAGAATGACTACCTGGAATGTCAGCATTTCATCAGCAATGAAGTCTGTAAACAACTAGTGGTGACCAGCAGAAACCAGAAATGGCCAGCTTTTCAGAAAAACGTCTCTTGCCAAGCAGCTTGTGTAGGTCTTTCACTGTTTGTTAAAATCTTGGAGGTTCTGTCCTGCATGGCAAAATACATTGAGTAATTCTCTGAGGACAAGTTATAAAAACCAATACCCTTTTGTAACAAAACAGATGGAACATTACAGGTCAAAAGTAATATTTACTTCAGAGCTTAAGATGGGCTGTGCTAGTTTCCCTTGCAGATGTGCAAATGCCTTTTTTTTTTCCCTCCCATAATGTAGTCAGCTTTTCAGTAGTGCTCACTGCATCTATGCTGTTCACCAAAGCACAGCTGTGAAGCTGTCTGGATTTCTCTGAAGGTAGTTTAAATAAGCTGGCTCCAGGCTGTATCGAAATCAGAAGCATTGCACCCAGACAGCTCCTTGTCTCTGCCACACACCTCATCTCAGCTCATAAAGTCCTGCTATGAGCTTATAGGGATTCTTATATCACCAGAATGCAAGGACTTGTGATGATTGAATGGCAGGAGTGTAATACAGGTTTTGTATGACATATTTTAACTGGGTAATGAGCCCCTAGATATAATATAAAGAAAAAAGGAAATTTGTTGTTGCTTTAGGGTTACATACATTCAGGTGTTTAATGTATGTAAGTTAAATCCCCAGCTGTACCTGATTTCTAACATTTCTTCATTGTGACTATCTTATAGTATATGAAATGGAGTTGTGCAAGCAAATGCATTTGTACCTTCTCTCCTAGAATGAGCTCATTACTTACAAAGGGTATCCCAGTGAGGAGTATGAAGTGATGACAGAAGATGGTTATACCATTACCATTAACAGAATCCCTTATGGTACTCAGAATCAAGGAAACCCAGGTACAGTTATTGAATATGACACAACACCACTCTGGACAGGGCATATTCTCAAAAGAGACAACTTGTATTTCTAAAGCATCCACCAAAGCTTGTATACATGAGTGAAATTTCAGCAGAGTTCTGGCTGCCCTGAACAACCTGAAAGACCTACAGAATTAATATCAAGCACCTATTTATAATAAAAATCCACAGTATTAAGCATATGCTTTCTAGTAAGCGTTGATGAGTAAAACTTAAAAAAAAAAATTAAAACTAAGATAAAGGTTGCCTAATCAACCTGTTTTGCAAAAGCTTTTCCAGCTTCTAGTTTTGTTTTGCTTTTGCTTACACCTGGTTAGTATCAGTGTCTGATTCATATTTTGGGTAAAGTAAATCTCTGAAAACAATCCCACACCGTCATCTCCCTATCAGTGCTGAGAATCTCAAGCTGATGTGTCTGAGCTGTACAAACAATGACCAGAGGGTGCCAAGTTAGCTTGCTGTGCTGTCAGGCAGATCTTTCCATCAATCCTTTCAGAAGCTTAGAAGGTGCCTCTTACAGAAAGAAGGATTTTGTTCTTCTGATTTGTTGATTCAGGAAAAAGTCCCAGTATTGAATATGAGACAATAGTATCTCTGAACAACCAGGAAATTAAAAGATAAAAACAATTATAAACTGTTTTGGTTTTGCTTTATTTTTCAGCTTCAAGACCTGCTGTATTTCTCCAGCATGGATTATTGGGAGATGCTCGTAACTGGGTCACAAACCTGCCCAACAACAGCCTGGGCTTCCTGCTAGCTGATGCTGGATTTGATGTTTGGATGGGAAATAGCAGAGGGAATCGCTGGTCAAGAAAACATCAGAAGTACTCCATTGATCAAGATGAATTCTGGGCTTTCAGGTAGACAGAACCACTGAAGGGGATATCCATTGCCACGCTTACATATTTGTGTCAGATGGCTAAATCAGGGGTTTACATATGCTACATATTAATGAGCATTGTTTACATTTGCTTCTGCTGAGGTGCCCCTGTAAAAGAATGAGAACCGTAATAGTAATGGAGACATCTTTAACTACTGCTTGATCAGGTTCTTCAAACTAGAGGCACAGCAGCAGAACGACTCAGAGGAGCCTGCACAGGCCATCTCCAAGCTGTTCCTCAATCCTGGAGCCAGTTTTGGCAGCTACTTAGAAACATTAGTGTGTGTAATATAATAACCCCAAAACAATCTTGAGTAGTATCTTCCATATCCAGTGCCAGAAAAACAAAGAACTTAGAACAATTGAATTATTCACTAAATCAGTCAGACTGTTTCTTTGCTGACAAGCTATTAATAAAAATGCAAATTCAATTTAAAGTCTGGCTTTTTAATTTATGCATGCCACTCTTTCAATCCCCTGCCTGCAGTTTTGATGAGATGGCGAAGTTTGATCTTCCAGCAGCAATAAATTTCATTTTGGAGAAAACAGGACAGGAGAAGCTGTACTATATTGGTTATTCACAAGGTACTACCATTGGTAAGTTACACACAAGAGAGGAATTCTTCCAGAAAACAGGAGTAAAATGTGATTTAAGATACTGAGTTACTGAATGTACTTAAAGTTTTCATTAACTCTTTGAAGTTGTGAAATACTGTGTTAGAAAAAGCAGTTTTCAACATGTAGGCATTTAAAATTTATTATAAAGATAATGAAGCATAATAGATCAAATACACTGCTACTGGAAATCTATCAGCTAAGAATTATACTGGAAAATGTTGTGTGTGGGCCATGCAAATTGTTTCTATCCAAGATGCAAGGGTGTGCCCAACAGCAGCTGGTCAGTTCACCAAAAAAAACAAAACAGGAAGATGAGAGTACAGAAGGAGAAGTTGGCCAGTTTGGACCGGATGTAGGCATGAAAAAAAAATACAAAATTGGATTGACCAGAAGAAAAATTACTTTTCCTCCTGATAGTATAAGAAATATATGAATGTACATCAGAAATGTATGTTTAGTCAAGTCTGGAAGAAACCTGCAAAATAAAGAAAGAAATTTCTCTGAATAGGGGAAAACTCCTACAAGCTGGTAACTTATGGAAAAGAGGGATTTCATACAAATCTAGGCTGGACCATAGTCTCTGAACAACAAGGTTGCTTATAAATTGAAAGTGCAGAATATGTATTAATACTGAAAACAGTCTATTGTAAAAATATTGGGGTTTGACTCCTCTTTTTTTTTTTTTTTTTTTCAGCTTTCATTGCATTTTCAACAATGCCAGAGCTGGCTCAAAAAATCAAACTCTACTTTGCACTGGCACCTGTCACTGCTATTAAGTATGCTAAAGGCCCAGCAACAAAACTCCTCTACCTTCCTGAGAAAATGCTCAGGGTGTGTGATATCTTGGTTTCCATTGTTTAACCATATACTTGTTTGTTCAGCTCTTAAAACGGATAAATAGAAAGTGTAAGGCCTTGTGAAGTTGACTCATTTGCAAGCGAGCAGGTTTACTTTGTGGTGAGGCCTTCGAGAGTTCAGATAGGGCAATAAGAAAAGCTTTCAGTCCGAGGCAACAGTGCAGCACAAGGACAGGTCACCCAGAGAGATAGAAAGATGCAGATCCTCAAAGGTTTCCAAGATTCCTCCAGGCAAAGCCACTAATATAAAAGCTTAAACTATGAATTGGAGTTAATTTAACATATCTCTTCATTAAAAGTGATGTAACCCCGACTGAGTAATGCCCAAGCAGGCTGATGCAATGGAAAACCAAGTAATTTCTCACTTGTTTGTGGGAACATCTTCTGACAAGTGGAGAAAAGGCGAGTAAGAACCACTGAAATTGATGGAGAAGTGTGTACATTCCCAAATTATCGTTACCGTTGTATTTCACAGAGTATGCTTGGCAACAGAGAATTCCTTCCCCAAACTGAGTGTCTAACAAGGATAATAGCCCCTGTCTGCAGCCACCGAGCTTTTGCCAGGCTTTGTAGAAGTGTCTTCTTCAATCTGGGTGGCTGTAACCTGAAAAACATTGATGTGGTATGTATAACTTTTGTCAGCTCTACTGGGAGTTTAAGCTTGTGCTCCTCAAATTCACCTTCTATGCTGCAGGGTGAATTCTGAATTTCTATCAGTATCGCATTGCAGGGAACAGTCCCCACTACTGGACAGCAATATCTGCTGATTGCCCTCTCTCTAGCAGGGAACCACTGCCTCTCCCCTCAGAAGAGCATCTGGCACCAGTTCTGCAGCTGACAGCTGCTCAGAGCCCCCCAGAGTTCTGCAGTCTGCCTTCTGACAGACCTCACCCAGGGCACCATATCCTGGTCCATACTGTGGCTGCTGGTCTCACCAGAGATATTTCACATGCTGGCACACTGAAAAAGAAGAAATTAAAAGCCTGGTTAAGGTTTTCACTTTGCAACTCAGAAAGGAACACACATACTCCTCCTTGTCTTCATTCTCCAAGCCTTGGGCCTTCAGGATAGAGTATTAGGATGTAGCTGGGCACCTCACACTATATCCAGCTGTAGGTCAGATCACCTGGGAGTCAAAATTTTGCTCCAGCATTTTTCAAAAAATGCCTCAGAAAGTGTTCACTGAGGAAGGATCTCACAGCAGCTTACTAAGAAACCCCTGCAGTACTAGGGTGTGTTTTGTTTCAAATATTTGTGCATTCATTAGGAAATTGCATTTCCCTTTGCTGTTCTGTCCAACAGTGATCCTCTCTCACACAGAATCTGATACAGAATTCTGAAAAACACCACACAGATTGGGGTCTAAATTGCTGCCTTTCTATTCATTCCTTCTCACCTGGAGATTCTTTTAGATTCTTAGTCGTCCTGGAAAAGGCTCTGGTTAGGGATCGCTCTCTCAGTGCTACTCCTTATCTGATATACTGCCACATGTGAAGTAAATCTGAGGGAGTCTCCAATCATATCACTCCAATTTCTGTTGGTTAAATTGATATATGATGCTGCTGTAGCATATCTTTTGATGTACATCTGCATAGAAGGGAAGCAAAGAATGCCCACTGAGTTTTCTCTTTCAGAATCGAATCAACGTGTATATTGCCCAAACCTCTGCTGGAACTTCTGTGCAGAACATAGTCCACTGGAGTCAGGTATGAGCAATCCCCTGAAAGATAAGATAGGTACTCACCTTGAGCTGAGTAGAGAGGTAAGAGATAATCAGCTGTGAAGCCATTGCCAACTTCTTGGAAACATATGCAACTTGTGAATTGCAACTGAAACCTCAGTTCAGAACACTATTTTTCATTGCTCCTTCTTTTGCCAGCCCTGTGTGATACAGATACATTTGAAGCCAACAATGAAGAGCTTCATTTGAGTAAAAATATGTAGGCTGGAAGCTGTGTGTGCAGGTGTACACATCGCTCTCCTTATTGTGTATCCGGTACCTTTTATAAATGATGTCCACAGTTCGTAGGGAGTTTATCTTAAATTAGTTGTGTTTCCAACGTGGTGCCAAGAAATGAGCAAGATTTAGGCTGCCACATAAATTGTCACATTTACTATTAAAACCCTTGCAGTTTCTTCTCTCTCTTTCAGAGCTGTCAGTGTCTGGACAACAGTAGTACCATAAATAATAAATACTTTATTTAGTAGACTGTTTCTATCCCTCACCTACAAAGTACTGCCATAGTACCTCTTCAGTAGCAGTGCTGATGGGAGCTGCCTTTCTGTCTTTGCGCTCCCACTCTGAGGATCCAAAGAGCTCCCTTGGAGGAGCCTCTGCCACAAGGCAGGTTTGCTGGCAGCACCACAGGCTCTGGAGCGGCTCTGGAAGAAGCTGCGAGCACACAAAACTTGCAGGAGTGTTTGTGCCCTTTCCAGCAAAGCGAACACACAGATATGTCTGAGTGACATCTGCTCAGGCACTTACTCAAAATAAAAATATAATTTTTGCTGTGAGATTGCATTAGATAGTAGGCTTGAATAAATTGCTTTTGTGACCATGACCTAGACCTCTTTCTGTAAGAAAAAGAGTTACAAAAGCAGAGTGGGGGGAGTATTGCAAATTGACTCAGATGTAATTCAGCATCTAACCACAGACTACAAGCATAAACATGCAGAAGTAATACTCCTAAGTCTTTGTAGTCCTCACTGCTATTACAACTAAAGGAACTAACAGAATTTCAATACTAAGATTCTGATGAAGGTGTCTCTCAGAGTAGGAGCAAGCCATGCTGTAGGTAAAGCCAAGAAGGGGAAGAACTAAAAATAGTAATTTCTGTACTCAAAAAGAGTGGGAAGAGAAAATATAAGATGGAGCCACTAGCAGAGCTGAGTGTTGGCAACATGACTGTAAGAATAGGACAAGGCAGTAGCACTGAGATGAACTTGCTGACAGCAGTCGTTAACAGCAGTTTTACAGACTTGAACAAATTGCCTGCAAGGACATCCTTGGCTCTGTCTGCAGAAGATGTGAATTTCTTTCATTATGACAGAAACATCTGACTCTTTTCACTTTTTGACACTCCTAATTAATTTACTATTGGCTCTTTCATAGCTCTTAGAAGAACTTCTGTTGGGGCTTTAGATTGGAGTCAGAGGCTCAACAGGGAAGGAACACACAAAGTTCCCAAATGATGGCATTACAACTTCCCTTCTCTTGTTCATCCTCTTAGGAGGCCCGCTCGGGCAAGTTCCAAGCTTATGACTGGGGCAGTTCAAAGAAGAACATGGAAAAATACCAACAGGTATGTCTTGGTGAAGCAACCTTGGACAGCACAGAAACACACAGGAAGAGAGCAAGAACCTAGTAGGAGACACATTTTCAGAACATAAGTAAATGAAAATATTATTGTTTTTCAGTTTGGAAGTCAATAGAGAGAGCATGCAAGCACTAGTGGCAATAATACATTTAATACATTTTAAAAGGAAGAGACAGAGAGGAAGAGAAAAACTTTCCAATTAAATGATCAATACGAATAAGAGAAAGTAAGGGCAGAAAAAATGGAAAATCTTTTTGAAAAAGAAGAGTACACAGAAAATAACAAAAACATCTTGCCTACTAGTGTAACTGAAACAGATGACAACATTAGGAACAAGAAAACTGGAAAGCTAACAGCCACCCCTAGATTCTGGCAGCCAGAGACAAAAGGACTTTGTCCTCAAGCAGATCCTGAGGAACACCTTTTCCATTCAACAATCTAATCCCATCCTTGACCCTCCTCACTTTTAGGCCTCCACAGCAGCCTGTCATTACAAGTTACATGTTTTAATGATGAATTTCATGAAACGCAGCTTCCTTTGGTTTGCTTTGAATTTGCTTGCTCCTGGAAAGTCACAGGATGCCTTCTAGGTTTTGTGTTTGGGATAATTACTTACAGTGCTCTTTCTTCATACCATTTGTGGTTGTATAAACCTGTCTCTTGCCCTTGCTCTGGCATCTCTTTTCCAAACACAGAGTCCTAAGCTGCTTTCCCTCTCCTCCTACAGAAGCCATTCTATGATCCTTTTCATCCTTGTCACATGTAGTGTTTTCTCTCTAGCCCATGACTCCTGGGACTGAACAGTGCCTCAAAAGGACCATGATGGGGGGCTTTATCCAGAGGCATCCTGACATCTCTGTCTAGTTTCAGGTTCCTGCCCTAAGATTCCCACTTGAGAAGGCAAAGACCCAACAATAACTCTTTGTCAGCTCAGGAGGTGTTTTACTTTTGGCTGTGCTATCAGTTGAGTAATCCCTGTGAGCACAGATAGAAAAGGCAAACAAGGGGACTTCCTTCCTCTTTGATTTAGACACCTCTACTTTGAGCCATGACAGAAGAAATCCACAAATGAATGTTTAAAGTTGCTGTGCTCTCCTGGACATTCATTCCTGTACTGTTTTCCAGACTACTCCTCCCCTCTACAACATAGAAGAGATGACTGTACCAACCGCAGTATGGACTGGGGGACAAGACCTGCTCGCAGATCCCAAGGATGCTGCCATTTTATTGTCTAAAATCAAGAAGCTTAGCTATCACAAGAAGATTCCTGAATGGGCACACCTGGATTTCATCTGGGGATTGGATGCACCTTTACAAGTGTACAATGAAATTATTGACCTGATGCAGAAATATCCTTAACCCACAACCAGAAGCCTTACCTGACTCGTTCAACAACACTTAGATTCACTGGGTACCAAAACCCGCTTCTGTTGCATCTGGAGTCAGGGAAAGGGTTCCTCCTGCACACCACATGTCACTACAATGCCTTTTGCATCCTGATAGTGCACTTCATGTTTTCTGGCAACCTTGTGGATCTGTAATACTTTTTCAATTGATACATCTTCTATTCTGCAATAACTATACTTTGCTAACAGAAGACAGGGTTTGCTTCCAGCCTACTCTCTTCTCTAGACTGTAACTGTAATGAAAGTGCTTCCTTTCTCTGGATACATTCTGTGATTTCTAGATATTTTCCATCCTTCAGATTATTGCTCAGTTTATTGGGCTGGCAGTTATTTAAAGGCATAGTGTAATCAAAATGTTATTCTAACAGTTGTGGTATTGTATAATTTTATTATTAAGCAGGATTATTAAACAAAAAAGTGAGTTCATACAAAAAACAAACAAACAAAAAAAAAAACAACAAAAAAAAACCCAACAAACAAAAAATTAAGAAGTGTCCTGAAAAGAAGATTGTTTGTCTTTCTTTGAAACAGGAATGCTCCCCAGTTTTCATGAGGAAGAGCAAGGGACGCAGGGTAGACAAACACAAAACAGTAGCCAGTAGCCAGTATCATGGTTCAAGCATGCACCTGGAAGCTGGGAAATTTGGCTTCAAGACCCACCGTGAAAATGAGAAATCCTTGCTGGTTCAATCTTAATTGTTTTGGCAATGGCAGCACTTCCATGGGACCATTTATTTACAAGTTACACCAGCAGAAACCTCACACTTCCTGCTGTTTATGAAAATGAGAAATCCTTGCTTAAGGACTTAAGAATCCTTAAGTTCAATCTTAATTGTTTTGACAACGGCAGCACTTCCGTGGGACCATTTATTTCCAAGTTACACCAGCAGAAACCTCACACTTCCTGCTGTTTCACATGTAAGCTACTGGCTGTGAGAGAGCTGAGATGATCTAATCTTTGTCAAGGCTCTGAGCAGCCTCTTCAGAGTTTAAACACTAAAATGAGAAGTACCTAAACATTGTTAGAAAGAATTCATCTTCATCCCATGTAAATTTAGAGCACTTTGACCACTCCTGGAAAGAGCTCCTTTCAAGACAATGCTAAAGAATTATTCATCCTATTAATTTCCTGAGGTAATTATGACTCTACCAATTTTGTTTCAAATAGGTAGTTACTGCACAAAACCACTCAGTTGAAGGGTAACCTCTGTGGTTATTAGGTTACAGCATTATAGGTCACCATTCCTCCCAAACAAAGTTCCATTAGCTCCACGGTGAAAAGAAGCACAGTGCATTTAGGGGTTTCCTTTCAACCTGACATCCTCATTCTCCTTTTCAATGAAAAGTTAATGTGGGACAAGTCTGGGATGCTGGCCAGCACAGTGCACTGGGACTGTTCACTGGTGACACTGTGAGACCAAAGGACCAATGTCACGCTCTGAGTAATGGTTCATTAGCCAAACAAATTAACCGTGGCTGTTACCACTTCTGCACCTTTCCTTTCCAAGAGAAACAGCAGGCCTTTCTCATCTCCTGAGCCCACTGCTGAGGGCTGTCCTGTTTCCTTCTGTTTCACAAAAGTAACTAGATTTTGATCCAAACAAAAGAGTGCCCATCCAGAAAAGGACATTCCTTCCATCAGGTACAAATTCCTGGAGACAAATACCCTTCAGAAAGTTAATATTTCAACTAACTCACTGCTTGTAGGGAAAATGTATGAGGACATGATAACTGTTTTATAAGTTTTCCATCCTTTCCATGCTAAATGCAACAGCATCATCCCTGAGAGTAGGCAGAGCATTCCATAAAGTCACCTAGAAAGGAGTTTGCAGTTGTACAGCTATCTTGCAATCTGGGACACCACAGAGGAGTCAGGGAGTTGAATTTTCTGGAAAATCAGGAAAAGCGGGAGCAAACAGCATTAGACACATCATGGGGACTCTTGATCCCACCTTGGGACATGAGGAGGGATGAGACATCATGTTGCAGAAGTCCTTCTGAGTGATCAGTTTATGGTTTGATGGCAGTTATTGTCACTTACAGATATCAGAGAAGTCAAGCTACAGTCTTTTTCACTGAGAAATTATGAAACTACTTTTCCCACTATCCCAAACAATGTTCTTTACTTTGTATGTAAAGCAGGACTGTTACTGTGCCATCACTGACATCCTGTTGTTTCACTCCCTTCTTTCCCCAGTAGTTGAAGGCATCACACTGTGCAATGATGTTCCCAAGAACACATCCCTCTCATCTGCTGTTCTTCTAAATGCTCATCAGTCCATGATGAAACTCATGCTCTCCTGAAGACACTTGTGAGTTAATTTGCTTAACAGGTTGTTGAGCCAATTGTTAAGCCTCCTCCTCATGCAGGAGGATTCTATTTAGTTTATAGCCCAGCTGCCCAAGGACAGGGAACAAGTCCTTCTTCCCATGGTCAAGGAGCCAGTCTCAGTGAGGACTGAGCCCTCAGGCTGACTGCAGCTAATTCAGCCGTTAAGCAAAGATCTCCAGATACCGTGTTTTCAGAGGTGATGAAAATGGCTCAGGACAAACAAAAGCCCTTGTTTGTTCCCTCACTGAAAAATGTTACACGTGTTCAAGCCTTCTTTGGCACTGGACTGTGATTAATTAGGTGGGTTTCATTAGTTGTACTGCTCACTGGAAAACAGATTTAAGTCAGCCTGCACTGTTAAAGTTAACATAAACCAAATGAAAAGCAATAGCAGAGACAGTGTTCTTGAGATACTATGTTGATAAAAGCTGAATACTTCTTCCTTTTCATCTTAAAAAGATTACATTTGAAGCAGCCCCTCAGCTGGGCAACAGGACAGATCAAGGTCTGCCACAGCCCCAGTGAACTGCAACACCCAGATCCCAGCTAAACCTTCTAACCACTGATTTATAGGTAGTCTCTCCACTCTCCTGCTCCATGGTACATTTTGGGGTGGTGAATTAAACCAGATCATCTTTTTCATCACAAAGATTTCCCCACTTCTGAAATACTGCCAAATCAGCACTTAAACACGCTCTGCAATACGTGCTGCCAGCTCATGACACTCACAGCTGCTTCCCTGAAGTGCTCATTTTGTTTTGACTTCCTTTTATCGGCGCAGGTTCCTGCCAGTGAATCAGTCTGCCTGTGGAGACGGACCAGTGACCGTGGCAGAAGACAGAAGCAAGGCAGTCAGAGCAGAGGTAAGTTACTTGTACATACATGCTCATGGTCTCTTTCTCTGTCTCCTATCTCCATAAAGATGTGCTGCCTTGCTTTTGTGCTTTTGGTTGTAAAAGTAAGCAGTGTTTTTCTTCTCTCATCTGTAAGTCTACTGCTATGCACTAACTTGCTTCTCTGCTTAAACTAGAAGACAAACAAATTTGACCTGCACAACAGGGAGAAAAAGAGAAACTATTTAATTTTTTCCTACTTGTTTTCTTCCCTCTGAGAACAAGGGAATGAATGTGCAAGTATTGCAACAATGTATAATCTGGACCTCCTGTTCCTTCCACATAATGCAGGTGTAGGTTTTCTCAGTGAGTAAGGCAGCAAATTCTCATGCATGTTTAGTCACAGTTGCTCTTCTGGTTGGTGTGCCTATGCCTTACAGGTTCTATGAAGTAAACTTTACACTGCTTAAGGCACAAGGATAAAAGGACAATTTTCAGATTGGCTTGCATCTTAGCTTCACTAAATCTTAAAAGTACCTAGAGGAACTTTCAAGGGCATTTCTCTCTCTGATTTTTTTTCCATCTGAACATATTCTTTTATGATAGTTTGCCATGCTCAGTAGTTACTTATGGCTTCATTTCACTAGATGAAAACAGCTGTTCACATCTCCTGTCTTTATTCTTAGAGTTTAAGGGAGCAGTGGCCTGCCAAGGTTGATGCTACTTGGCCCGCTTTATCTGAGTAAAAGGTGAATACCTGAGAGTCCACAAGCCATGCCAGCTAAGGCAGGTGATCACAGAGTGCATTGAGGAAAATTTGCCTTAAGAAGAGGAATAATTAAGCCTCTGCATTACCTCAGATAATTTTGGTAGTGATGTGAAAACAAGCCAAGATATTAGCAGAACTTTTTCTTGCCAAATTGAGATTCCCAGTGCAGGGAGAGGGAGGCATGTTTTGCTCCTACTAGAAGAGAGTAAAACAGCAGAAAGCAAAACAAAGTGTTGCACTGCCTGAGTATATAGTTGTGAGGCTTCCTGTTTTGACAAAAAAAAATTAAGAAGTGTTTGATATACAAAGGGAATTTAATGAAGTGTGTTTTTATGCCAAATTTAAAGTTATGGGTGTTTCCAAATGCTGCCTCATTTCAACTGTTTGATGACTCACAAAGTTTGACTTCTTTAAATTTGTTTCGTCAAATTTAAGGGCCAAATTGAAGATCACTAAAAATCAAAACATATATTACTTCTTTATCTTTCTCTCATCCTGCAAATTCTGTTCTTCTTCCCCATTACTTGATGGGGAATACTTCCTTTTTTTATATTGATCCTGATATTGGACATTCCTGAGTACAAATAAACTTCCCAGAGCACCATATCTCATCATAACAGATGTCTTATGAGAGAAGCAGGCTCAAGAAACATGTGGCTACATAAGAACCTCTGTTCATCATTAAAAATTGCATTTTCCATGTCTAATCCCTGGTTCCCAAAAGACTTGTCTCCTGAGCCTGCTTAACTTCCTAACAAAAACTGTAAGACGGGAAGGTCTCCTATGAAATTCACTCCCAAACCATGTATGCTATGGCTACTGCAAAGCTGCATGGACTCTGAAATGCTGACAATCTCACTCTTTCTGGCTGCTGCTGAACATAACACCAGCTGCAGATTTTGCCTGCCTTCCCCCCAGCAAGGCTGAACCCTCTGGAGTTCCCTGTCCTTCCCTGACGAGCACTCCTCAGGAGCTGCTGCAACCCCCATCACTGCACAGGCTTGTATCTCAGTGCTGGA